TACAGCCAGTCTGCCGTGGAAGAAGTCAGTCAGTCGGCAGACTTCACTGTTGTCTTGTTTTAAGAAACTGCCACAGCCACTCCAGCCTTTAGCAGCCACCACCCTGATCAGCCAGCAGCCACCACCATCGAGGCAAGACCCTCCACCGGCAAAAAAACTACAACTGGCTGAAGGCTCAGGTGAGCCTTAGCATTTTTTTTTAGCAATAAAGTATTTTTTAATTAAGGTATGTACATTGTTTTTAGATGTAATGCTGTTGCACACATAATAGACTACAATATAGTGTAAACATAAGTTTTCCATGTGCTGGTAAATCAGAAAATTTATGTGACTTTTGCTTTATTAGCAATAAAGTATTTTTTAATTAAGGTATGTACATTGTTTTTAGATGTAATGCTGTTGCACACATAATAGACTACAATACAGTGTAAACATAAGTTTTCCATGTGCTGGTAAATCAGAAAATTTATGTGACTTTTGCTTTATTGCGATATCCGCTTTGTTGTGGTGGTCTGGAGCCAGACCCGCAGCATCTCCAGGGTGTGCCTGCCGAGCTGGACTTTCTCAACCACACACGGGGCTCAGTCACCTCGATGTGGTTTCCAGTTTTCCACCCTCCCAGTTTGTCAATGTCACTGACCCAGACATCTGCCTATATCACCGCCTCCTGGTGACCAGCTCCCTATAGGACAGGCACATACAGCCTACATGACTCACCCACTGACCCAGGCACACCATGGTGACTACCTCTCAGTCAGCGTGATCTCCTGGAACTCGTGCTTGCTTGCTGTGAACCCACCAATTAAAATTCCCTGCAGGAAACATGCTCGGGTAACACCCGACCCCAGGAAAGGTGCTGGCCTTCAGGCATGGCATGCACCCCCAGGCCTGCCAGTAACAACATCTTTACTCCACCTTGTATCTCTCCCAGTCACTAAAGGGGTGCTTTCCGTCTCAAAGAACCTAAATTAAAACACAGGCCCAGCCCCATCCATGCCCATCTGTTGGATGGGGCTGTCAGGTTACGGGAAAAATGGGAAAGCCCAGAGGCAGCAGCCCAGAGTCCCCTCTCCAGGTGCCCTCCCTGCAGCACAGCCTGAGAAGGACAGAGGTGGAGCCACCCATCCAGAGGCGGCCAGCATCACTAGCCCGCAGCTGGCCAGAGGGAGACAAAGGGGACACACAAGATCATAAAACACCTCAGTTTTCTGCTGATCACATGTTCAAAGGGTAATATTGGGGTATACCAAGTTAACCAAACCCGTGTTCCTAAAATGAATTATGCCCATTGTTACTTTTCCTCTCACGTGGCTGTGAGAGTCCAGAGTTACCTCACGGCCCCCCCACACACACACACCCCATGTGGCTCGTGTGGTGTTCCCAGCAGCCTGCATTGCTCCAGATGCTGGGGGTCAGCCCTAGCCACTGTCCAGCATGACACACATGCAAAGAAGCCACCACCTTCTGAATGTGCAGTGGCTGCCACCCCAGGAAAACGCCCAGTGGTCCTAAACACACAAAGCAGGCTTCATCCTGGGATGGAACACCGCGCTGACCTCCGCAGGGCTCCCTGCACCCCCACCTCGAGACACCTCCCTCCAGGCACAGCACTCAAATAGTTTTTGGACTCTTACCTCTTCTGGAAAGCACCAAGGGAGAGAAACCAGTTTCTGGCCGGTCCCACTCTGTGGAGACCTGCAATTCCCAAAGTCGCCTGCCCTACCTCTCACACCCTTGGGCCAGCTCCGAGCTGCTGAGCACACGCGTTCCTCCCACACCTAATATGGACCTGTCGGGGACCAGTCCCCGCGGTGGGTGCTCAGCTTCCTGGTGCACCCCCTGTGGTCCCCAGCACCAAGCCCACTGGGCATGTCACTCTCACCATGGGCCTGTGTGCATCCTGCCTGGTGGTCAGCGAGCACCAGCTCCCAAGACAAAGCTGGGGCCTGAGCTTCTGCAGACGAAATTCAAAGTGGCCCTGCCTTTCCCAGCAGCAACTCTGCCTCTGGAGCTTACCCTAAGGGAGGAACAGGGGTGGGGTGGGTGCAAAGGCCGCCTGCGGGACAGTCTGCAGCAGCTCTGCCGGTGCAGGCGGCACAGAAACAGCTAACTGCCACCGCCACTGCTGGAGGAGGCCAAGCCTGTGCCACAGGACATAGTGCAGCAGTACAGAACGACACTGCAAAGGACTCTTCAGAAGGACATTCGCGGCAGAGCCACCAGCAGAAAGAAAAAGGGCACAGAACATCTTGTACACGATTCACAAAAAACCTCACATGTGTGCACAGACATAGACAGACATGCCACGCTGTCATCCAGACCCGCGGGCCATGGGTAGGGCCACTGGCTCTGGCGTCTGAGGTTTGCCATCATCCCGGGCCCCCCCTGCTGCCACCTGGTCTCTTCAAAGAGTCGCCCCACTCACTCCTCGTCTGTTTCTTAAACTGCGACTCGCACGGTTACCAAGCCCTCCAGAGTAAGAGGCTCCCACTAACACCGATGCTCCTGCCGCCCTCGGCCCTCCCTGGGGCAACCCCACGGCCCACGGCACCACTGCTCATCTTCACGCGCGTCCCACGCCCTCGGGATCTCGGTGGGCTGGGATGTCTCGGGCACACTCCCGCCGGGGCCCCGCCTGTGGGACGCGTCCCGACCTGACTTTTGATTTCCACATTCTTCTAGTTTCACTTGCACCCGCTGCTGACTGTTCTCAAAGGGCAGTTCTGCGGGGCCAGTCACGGCCAGAGCCACGGGCTCCCCTCTGCTGGAACAGCCGCAGCAGTGTCTGTCGAGGGGCTGCGGGGGCACATTTTTTGAGAACTTCCATGTGGTCTAAGGGTGCCTTTTTTATCTTCACTCTTCAATGACACTTTGGCAAAATAGAGAACTCTGAAACAAAACTTTCCTATGAATTCTGATGGTGCCGCTCGCAGCCGCCAGGTGTCTCCAGGCCTGCCCTTCCCTCTCTGAGAGCAGCAGAATCGTCTTTGTCCCCTGCTCCTGCTTGCATCCTTGACGAGGGGCTTCCACCCAGTGAGCTGGGCCCGAGGAGGCCCCTTGATCTGGAAGCTCATGCCTCGCACCCCAGGCTGCTCGCCACTGTGCCGCACACGCTTCCTGCTCTGCCCTCTGCTCGCACTCCAGGTCCTACAGCAGAGCTGTGACTCCTGGGCCGCCTCTGGGCTAACCTGTGCCTCACGACCTCCCTCTGAGCAGCGGATTCCCTGGAGAGACTCTTCCAGACCCTGCTGTGGGTGAAGGCCCAGGTGCTGGTGTTGGGGACCATGTGGTGGGTACGGGCTCCACACTGAGTGGCCCACAATCATCCAACCTCATTCTAGACCTGCGGGCACCCCCGGTCCAGAGAGCCCCAAGCCTCACCCTCCCCAGAGACGAGCACCCACACCACAGCACGGAGTGGGAGGGGAGCCAGGCTTGGCGGCTCCTCGACCCCTGCCCAGCACCTGCCCATCCCAAGCCTTCAACGGGCTCTGCACGGCCAGCTGGCTCCCGCCAGGCTGCGGCTCCCCTCGGCCCGCCGGCACCCTCCCCACCCATCCCCCGGTGCTGCTGCCACCTCAGCTCCTGCTCGCTCACCCCAGCGGGCTGCGTCTTTTTCCTGAAGCTCCACCTACTGTCGCTTTAGTAGCATTTGGGGAGGAAGAAAATTACACGTGGTGTTCAACCCTCTGCCTGCCCCGGAAGTCTCCGTTCATTCTTAAGCCCACCTTGAACACGGCTTCGACCCCCATGGCCACTGGCTCCGGGATGTCGGCAGCTGCAGGCCACGGTGCCTCCCCCGCAGTGCAGCCGGTGCTGCGTCAACGGCGGTGGGTTTCCCCACAGCGAGGCCGGAGCCCCCTGACCCGCAGGGCTACTGTGAGTGCTCCTCTTACACACACTAACCACGGACCCACACCCTGCTCTTGGCAGCGGAGATGTGTTACCTCATCTCATCTGCACACCAGCCACAGTACAGACGAGGAAACAGAGGCCCAGACAGGCCAAGCAATGAACCTACGGCCACACAGTAAACACCGCATCCTCCCAGCATCCCCAGCATGCCACCGGCCGAGACCCTTAAAAGCAGACACAGGGGCCGGCCCGGTGGCGCACTGGATAGTGCGCCGCTTGGGAAGCGCGGCGGCGCTCCCGTCCGAGGGTTCGGATCCCACATACGGACCGGCTCCCGCTCACTGGCTGAGCGAGGCGCGGGAGCAACACCGAGGCTTGCAATCCCGTTGCCGGTCCCCGGTCCGGTACGGGGGCAACACTGAGGGTTGCGATCCGTTGCCGGACACAGAAAAAGACAAAAGACAAAAAAAAAAAAAGCAGACACAGACTTCCATCCCTCAATGAAAACACCCAAACTTAATGAAATAAAGTTCAGACCATTAACTAACGGAAACTCACACACATCAGTTATTAAAAAGAAGACTTTGTAAATATAACTCACTTCACACGGGGATTTATACCTACAGGATTTGTCAGCAGCGGACACTGCTGCGGCTGTTTCACCAGAGTGGAGCCCGTGACTCCGGCTGTGACTGGCCCCGAACAACTGCCCTCTGAGAACAGCTGGCAGCGGGTGCATGCAGCTTTCACTCTGTTCTGCCCAAGGATCCCCAGAGCACTGTCTGGGGAGATGCAAGCATGGGGAAACCTACACCAAGCACCTCACTCTCCCCTGCACTGCTCACCAATCCTGGGTCCTCACGAGGGTGGAAGTGTGACCTTCCTCTTCCAGGAGGGTGAGGCCGGGCCATCGGCCCAGGAATCTCAATGAGATGAGCCACTGGCCAATCCATCCCTGCCAGGAGCTGACTGGCAAGCAGGCAGCCCCAGGTCTCAAACCAGTCCTCTCAACCAGGACTGCAAAAGGCTGGGGCTCTGGCCAGAGCAGAGCCAGGATTTCTGGCTCTAGATCAGTCCCAACAACCACAGCTGCATCCCCACCACAGAAGCGGGGAAGAGCCCGGGACCTACCCACCGACACTCACCTGGTCTCAGCAAAATGGCTGAGAAGCTCCCAGAGGGTCTGGCCTGAACAGAAGGTGTCCTGCAACCTGGAGCCATCATCCAGCTGCAAAGCGATGCGAACCTAGAGGGGCAAGACGGGAGAAGCTGAATGAGGAGCAGCGGCTGTCCTACCCAGACCCAAGTCCAACCCTTTGGCACAGTTGGAGGGCACACGCCCCTGCCCCTACCCTCCCAGGAGAGACGACCCCAGGGAGGAGTGCTGCCCTCTGCGTTCTCTGCAGACAGCTGAGGGCCCGGGAGGCTGCGGGCAGGGTTGCACCTGCGCATGCATGTACACATGTGTATATGTGTGCCCACGTGTGCCCGCATGTGCAGGGACCACAAGAGGGAGGCATCTTGGAAACGCTGCTCTGGCCCCAATGGAGCCTTCAGAAGACCACAGCTCCTCACCAGAGACCTGAGCTAAACTGCTCCCCGATTCCCGACCCTCAGAAACTGGCGAGGTGGTAACTGCTGCAGTGTTTTCGGCTGCCAAGTTCTGGGGTAATCTGTTACACAACAATAGATGACTAACACATTGTGTTTCCTCAATTTTTTCCATAAATGAGCACTTTTATAAATCAATTTTTAACAATTATACCCCTAAACAGGAGCATAAGGCTATAACCCAAAAGGGGGAAATTCCCTTCCAGTCCCTCTGCCGAATGACAGGCACGCTAGCACCTGCGTGTACAGCGTATTATACAGACTTATGTCCAACATCCACTCCTGTAAGAAACCCCTACCAAGCTCCACACTCAGCCCCCCACCATGACTTAGAGTTTGTTTCTCTGAGTCACGGCTAGTCCTGCCGCTTCAGCTGCAGGTCTCTCCCCTCAAGTACACACTTACATTAAGTACATTAAGTCCCAATAACACACGAAAGAGGAGCCGCTGTGTGCAGTCTCCTGCTGCCCCCTGCCCCGCACCCCCAAGGAACCCCCACAGGAAGCCAGGGTTCCTTCCATGCAGCAGTTTGAGAAGTGCAGTTGTTGCAGGAAAAGACCAGCATCAGGGTCAGTTCTGGCCCGCCTGACTCCCAGCCCGGCACGGGCAGCCGTGGGCCAGCTGCGGGCTTTGGAGCACTGCCAACGCCCAAGGCCGAGCTCCCTGTCTGAGGACAGGGGTAAGGAAGAGCCTTCCTGCAATATTGGGAGGACAAAGTCACAGGAGCAAAGGACCGGGCAGAGGCACAAAAAAGAGGCCAGTTACTGCTGTGGTTACTGTTTCATCCACAAAAACCCTAGAACCTGACAGTTATCGACACGATGAAGAGAACTGGACTGGGTGCGGGCAACACCCACAGGGGGCGGCCTGGAGCACCCGGAGCCCAGCCTGTCTGGGGAAGGCAGGGGCTGTCCTGGCCAGAGTCCACATGGCTCTGCAGGTTCCACGAGGCTGGGCAAGTCCACGACCAGAAACATGGAGCTGGGGCAGAGTGCTGCTGACGAGCTGAGACAGACATGGCACAATTAACCCCCACCCCAAAGAAAAACAGTTCCTTCAGCAAGACTGAAAAAGTCTCATTTTCGGTCATTTGTTATTGAAGCGGAAAAGCCACTTGGCTGCTGAACTGTCCTGTGCTTCAAACAGCAGGAACGCGACCGGAGCAGCAGGCCTGCCTCTCACCCCAGCCACCTACCGTGTTGTCGGGCCCCTCGCGGCTCCGGGAGATGGGTACCATCTCCAGCTTGGCATTGTTGGGCAGGTTGGCAAATCTCCACTGTACAGACAGGTCAAGCACGTGCCTCTGAAACCTGCAAGACAGACCAAGGCCCACGTGCCACCCTGCAGACCCTAACACACGCAGGCCAATCCTGCCCTCATCAGTACCGCAGTTCCCCACCCGGCCACCCCATGCCTGCAAGAACACAAAGCCACCACCTGCTGAGACAAAAGGCGGGTGTCTGCCTACAGGTGGCCTCATGGAAGGAGAGGGAAGCCCAGACACAGCTGCTAGTGTGAGAGGACATGGAAAAGAGGAAGAGAAAGAAAACAAAGACGTCCGCCTCGGGGACAAACACAACGGCTGCTCCTCCAGAACCTGAAACAGTGACATACCCAAGCACAGATGCTCCAGGAGACAAAGACACAGGGAGTAATGGCGCAGGGGTGTGCACGCGGCTTTGCTCAGAGAAGCTCTGGAAAAACCCTCCACCATCGCAGCCTGGAGATGCAGCCCAGAAGAAATCTGGCTGCCCCAGCCACTCTCACTTACATGCCAGCCACCGGCCAAAACGACAGCTCCCCGCACTCCCACTACCCTCCAAATGGGGCCACAGCCCCAGAGATGATTAACAGGAGACAGGGATTCTAGAGAAGCCACACATGGAACGACCCAGTCCAAAGGCGTCCAGTGAATGCAGGCACTCATAGCGGCCAGACTCAATGAAGGGCTAATGCCGATGGCAGAGCCATGTTCCCGACACAGGAGCAGCCCATCAGCCTCTCCACCCGTATCCCCAGCGGGAAAGAGAAGGCCAGTGTGGACACACCAAGGACAGGGTGAGCGCAGCAGCCTCCTCTAACCCCTGTGTGGAGGATCAGTTGCCCCTGGTTCGAGGGAACAAGGTTTCTCAGCAGCAACTGGGGGTGTAAGATCCGAGGAGACAGGAGACGGACTGACCAAGGGCAGAAGAGGGCAGGGGCAAGCAGCGCGCCTGGAGACAGGCCTGTCAGACACCCGCCCCCTCCAGACAGCAGAGCTGCGCTCCTGCTTAGTGCACCTCCAGACCAGAATGCAGATGAGAAGAGCCCACCACGGCTCGGGCCACGTAAAGGCAGGTCTGGGGCTGTACGGCCTGGCTCCTGACGCCAGCTCAGATCGCACGTGAACCGTGGACGAAGAATGGGATGCCCACCCCAAGAAAAGAGCGCTGAGAGGAGAGAGAGGACAGGACTCAGACACCTGGTGCTGCCTCGCAGTGGCCCCTTCACCCGTGGGACTTTCAATACACAAATGCAGGACCCGCGGATACAGAGGGCCAAATGGTCAGCTCAACTTCACCAACGCCAAGATACCGTCCGAAACAATGAACGGTTTTCCGATCCACGAACGGAGTTTATAAAGCCCAAAGGCACGTGGAAGAATTGCGAAAGAGAAAACTTTGATCCCAACCTTTAGCACTGGCTAGAAAAGTGACTCCAGAAGTTGTCACTTAGAATGTCTAGTGCAAGACAGGACAGCAGATGAAAGGGCCCAGGGCAGGTGGGCTGAGAGCCCTGGGGGCGAGGGAGGTGTTGCTCACACACGGGTGCAGCACCCGCCTTGGCAGGGGCAGCACCTTTTTTTTTGTTTTCCTTTTTGTCTTTTTTCGTGTCCGGCAACGGATCGCAACCCTCAGTGTCGCGCCCGTACCGGACCGGGACCGGCAACGGGATCACAACCCTCGGTGTTGCTCCCACACTTCGCTCAGCCAGTGAGCGGGAACCGGTCTGTATGTGGGATCTGAACCCTCGGCGGGAGCGCCACCGCGCTCTCAAGCGGTGTACTGTAGCAGTGCGCCACCGGGCTGGCCGGCAGCACCTTTTAAACAAATTACACAGCCAGCAGACGAAAGGGAGACATAAGAAAAATAGATAAGCTGCTGCAGGAGACCTGGCTCAAAACTACACTCATTGGCTCCGACCAGACACCATCACATGGACTACAGGCAGGTTCAGAGAGGACAGAGAGAGGTGGCACAAGGCTCTCTGACAGGATGCTCAGACACGACCTAGCATGAACACACAGAGCACCCATCCTGGGACCCTCAGATGGTCAAGATGGGAGGAGGAAGGCTGGATGACTTGACAGGCATCTCCCCAAGGGAACGCCTCCCCAGAGAGTCCCATAAGGCAGCACAGGTGAGGCCGGGAGAGCAGGCTCCTCCCCCAACAACTGGACAGTGCTGCAATGAAGATACGTCTTTAAAGCTAAAAGTTATACCTGTGGGACAGAAACCCGCAGACCACCACCATGACGGTTCAAACCCTTCTGCTGCCTCAGGCCCTTGAGAGCATGGAGAATGCCCTCTTGTGAAAATGCCACACACAGAAAACCGTGCATGTCCCTCCAGTGGCTGGGAGGCTGCCCAGACCCACAGTTTGTGGGGTTCCTTCCCATCTCCTCAACCAGCTCTCTGTCCCCGGTGCCCCAAAAGAACTTACGAAACCAAATGTGCTAAAACCCTCTGCAGCAGGGAGAGTGGTAGACCCCAAGAGATATGACAATGTCCTAGCGCCGGAACTTGTGGTTGCAACCTTATTTGGTATCTGATGTAATTAAGTTATGGATGTCGAGGTGAGATCATCCTGGATTACCCAGGTGGATCCTAAATCCAATGTCAAGTGTCCTCCTAAGACACAAAAGATGAGAAACACAGAGAAAGTAGGAAAAGGCTGTGTAAAGACAGAGGTAGAAACTGGAGTGATGCAGCCACAAGCCAAGAACACCAGGGGCCACCAGAAGCTGGAAGAGGCAGGAAGGATCCTCCCTAGAGCCTTCAGAGAAAGTGTGGCCCTGTTGACACCTAGATTTCTAACTTCTGGCCTCCAGAACTGGGAGGGTATACACTTTCGCTCTCGCCCACCCAAGGGGGTTTCTCCAAGCCAGAGCCAGTACTTTTGGGGGCAGGAGCAGACTACAACGCTGCAGCTGGACCCAAGCAAACTCACTTCAGGTCGTATTCACTGGGGTTGAAGCCCTGCCGCTGGCACGTGTCCTCCAAAACCTAGGAGTGACAGGAAACGACAGTGAACCACTGAGTGTGGCAGAGACCAGCTATGGGTGGGCAGTTTCCTGGTGAGCCAATGGCTATGCCCAGACAAAACAACACGCTGGACGGTCCTCTCAACCGCTCCAGGTGTCTCACCTGCAAGCCCTGTCCACTCTCCCTCCCTTCCTCACTGGGGGGCACTACCCCCCATGTCCTGCCTTATTGTCCTCCCAGCTCTGTGGCAACGCTGCCTCCGTGCCCCGGCCCCTGCTTCTGAGCTCCGGAGAGCCACCTTCCTACCACATACCCTGGGATCCCCGGAGAATGAAGTTCAAACTCTTCAGTTGTGCAACATGCCTTAAACCCGCCAGCACCGGCTACCCCGCGGCTGGCAGGCTTCTGTGCACCTGCTCCCACTGCCTGGAAGCCTGCGCCCCCTGCGCCCAGTGCCAACAGCTCCCCACTTCTGCTCTCGGCGCGCACTTTCACATTCAACTGAGTCAAGGTCACGAGGGTGGTGAATGACTCGGCAAAAATCGCTTCCAGGCGCACAGGCCAAGCACGTCCCGCCGTGGGCTCCGGGAGGACGCCGCGGGAGGGGGCGGGCGGGGGCTCGAGCCTCCCCGGCGCCCTCGGAGGCTGGGCTCAGCCGAGCGCCCAGGACTAGGGGGCAAGCGCACGGTGCGGACCCCGCGAGGGCTGACCTCG